GAAAGAGTGGGGGAAGGGCCTAACAGGGAAACCTCTGGGTCTGTGATGGCAGAAGGAGGTCAGTGACAAAGAGGTCACAGAGAAGTAGAGAGGAAAAGAGAGACACAGGGAAGCTCGGCGTAGGCATGACACCATGCTGGGTGGCAGGTGGGGTGGTTTCCAGCCCCGCTATTGGGGGCAGGCTTGGGCTGTGGCTGCAGCCCTGCGGGGCTGGTGGAGGAGAACAAGGCATACTCACACAGCAGCCTGGGAGAACCGTGGGTATCATGGCCTACTTTAGACCAAGGCTCCAGGAAAATGTCAAGTGCTGCTAATAATAGTGTCCGGCACGCACCTCTCAGTCGCTGGCAATCACGAAGTGAGTGGGCTGCGAAGGGCACCTGCTGACCAGAGGGCTGGCCGGGAGGAACAGAGGCTCCAGGCCCTGGATCCATAGACCCATGCTGCCCTCATGTTTTCTCTTGGGTTTTAATTCACCACCTGCAAAGCAGGGGTGGGGAGAAGGATGAAAAGAGAATTTGTCACTAGAACTCAGCAAGCAAAGGGCCTGCTGAGCCCTCTGGAGCCCTGGAGGTGGACACAGTATGCGAGACCACTTCCCATGTGGGGTTACGTCATTCAGATTCATTCGCCCAAATGACAGCATTTCCAAGCAAAGTATCTCAGCATTTGGGCCCCCAGAATGGTTGGAGGAAAGGACGTGTCAATTATGTAGAGGTCTTCCCCTTGCTTTAGGAGGAGATGAGGTTCATACTCACCCAAGGTAATGGCTAAAGCCATTCATTAGCCTAGCCGAGATGTGCCAGACCTTGATTGAGACGCTTAACCCCCAGGCCCCCAGGAGCCTATAACCCAATCTCGGCCAGTGTTTAGCTTTGTGCAGATGAACTGTCCGCTGATTACAGAGAGCTATATAAATGCTAAGTGGGGCAGAGGTGGGGGTGTCCTGGGGGATGGGAGCCAGTAGTCCAGGCTCCCTAGCTGTTGGAAGAGACTGAGAGCCCCAGCCTGTGCGCCCCCATCCCCCACCCCAGTGAGTGACTTAGGTCATCCACTGGACGATAGTAGCTTCCCTAGAGACAGAGGAGGGTGATGGGGAGTGCCCAAGGTTAATGATTTCATAATTTTTCATAGTTGTGATCCCAGGAATGCAAGAGAGAAAGAGAAAGCAATGCCCAGCATATGTGATCTTTAGTCTTTTTTTATTTTCTATTTTTCCAATAGGAAAATTCAAGTATGCACGCACACGCACGCATGCACACCAGAACACGTAAGCTTTCTCATATGTATCCCTCCCCATATGTCCCAAGTGTCTGGCACATAAACATTCAATCCATGGCTGCTGTATTCACATAAACATAAACACAGGGAACACAAAGACAGTGTTGCATGGCATCCCCAAGAATATCCACAGAGATGAAAATACACAGCGATGTGGAAATGCTCAGACAATGTGATGGACCCTGTGCTCAGGCGCTGTTGCATTATCGCAGATCCTCCCTATAATCCGTGAGGTGTGTGCTGCTGTTTAATTTCCATTTTACCAACTAGGAAACTGAGACTTGACTCATTTGCTCACATTCATGTAGCTGACAACTGGCAGAACCACTTCTTGGCTATGTGTGTGTGTGCGCATGCATGTGCATGCACTGCGTGTGTGTGCGTGCGTGTGCATGTGCATGCTCACATTTATGAACATACAGAAATGCAGCTATGTACACTAACCTCTTCTCAAGTCGGCATGCATGTAAACATATTTGTGCACATAGATACTCACACATGTACACACGCAGAACTTCTTGCCTTCCTCTCTGGGGAATTTCAGGTCCTTTCTGAAATAATCCTTTGGCTAACTCACCCTTAGTAACCACCTGCTGCTTCCAGTTTGGGTCCTGGCCAGACCCAATCTAAGAGGCAGGACCTAGGCCCCCACTCATCTCAGCCACCATCAGCTTTCCTGGTAGAAACTGGACTCTGACCCCAAGTGATTGGACAGTGCTTGGATGGTCATTGGATGGTGCTCAGCCTGGGTTGGAAAAACTAGCCTTGCCCAGAGTTTTTCCTAGCCTGAACGGACAGACCGCTTTTACCCACAGAGACCTTTGAGAAGGGAGATGAAGAAGATGGGAGGAACCAGGGCCTTGCTAGAGGAAGAAATGAGAAGGGAGGAACTATTCCGGCTTGCTCTCTCATGTCAGGGGACCACACCCTACACACCTCTCCCCCAGCGGGACAGTCCACTGCCTCCCGGCTGCCAGCAGCCAGTGGGGATTCTTGAACCTTAACCAGCACAAGAATCACAGAATACCTCTTTCTACATGCTCCCCAACTCCAGGGAGTCCAATTTGGCAGTCCGAAGTGGGGCCCTGGAAGCTGCTTTGTAGTAGGTCCCCTGGAAGATTCTGACAAAAGGGGTCCACACACCACCCTGAGCACCACCAATCTAAAGCAGAAGAGATTTTGTGGGAAAACTCAGGATAATTTGGGACCACCCAGCATGACCCAGACGCAGAGGTTTAATCTCTGAGCCGTTTACTGCTGAGCTGCTGTTGTTTCTGCAAGGCTAGGAAGCTTAGTTTTATTCCCTGAGCCCTGTCCTGGCCCAGGTGGCATCAGCCATGAGACTCTGTGAGTGTGTATGGCGCAGTGCAAACCACATCCACTATGGGAAGAACATTGGATATGCCTCCCTGGCCTGGGTGTGTGCTGCTTGCCAGGGAGTGAAATAGAGTCTGGGGGCCCTAGGGTAGAGCCTGAAAGAGCACGGACACGCGTCCTACATGTGCTACTGTTTGAGGACAGGGTTGCAGCGTGTTCTCATTGGAGCACATCCTGGAACTCAGGAGCTCAGGTGGGTGGGTTTCTTGGCTTGAGAATTATAACACCTGCAGGCACTTTCTCAATAGGCCACACCCCTCTTTCTGCCCAGAGGCTGAGACCTCTGAGGTTCTTCTCAGATCATGAATTTCAGATGCTCTGTGACTCTTTTCCCTCATGGAGAAGGTGCTGTGGCCAGCTTGGAGCAGGGACAGCATTAGTGGCCTCCTTTGATATTCAAACCACTGTGGTCCCACAGTTGCACAGCCCAGCCCCTCTAGGTTTCAAGTCTGAGCTAAAAGAGCCTTTCAGCTTTGCCAACTCAACTGCAAACCAAGTCCCCTGGAGTAACCCCTTCCAACAAATTTCCAGCCCTCAGTGCTTCCTGAACAGAAAACCTGTCTCAATTCCACCCATCCTTTCCCCTGTGGCAGGCAGAGTCTGGTGAATAATGAGAAAATCACTAGGTAGGCATTGGAAGTGCTGCCCCGGGCAGGCCCTGAGCACCCTCTATTCACCCTGGTCCCCTGGAGACTGGAGCATCTGTTCTCAGAAGGCAGGTCAGGACTGGCATGCCGAGACCAACCCCTGCACCCAAACCAGTGCCTCCCCACTCTCCCTGCCCTCCATTCCCATGTCTTAGCCTGGACCTGGCCAGGTGGGCATCAGAGTCCTGAAGATAGGAGAGTCAGCAGGACCCAGAGGGGACCCCACACAGGCCTAGACAACCCCCAACACAAAGGATGCAGTGCAGCAGCTGGGCCCGTACACTTGAGAAGCAAATGCCCTCAGTCTCCAGTCCAGTCCCAGACTCCCAGGTCCCCTTGAGATCTCTCACTTCATCTCCTAGCTCCCATCTAGTCCTTTTCTCTCCTACTCCCCCTGGCCTCCCTCCACCCACCCTGAGAGTATACCCCTTCATTCGTACTCTGTGCAACCACACCCCTGCTTGGGAACTGATCATCCCTCTTCAGGTCTCTGATAAAGGGTCCACCTACCTTGCGCATCTCCTAGAAATTAAAGCTCTCCAGTAAACTGAGAGTCAGGCAGAGCCTACCAGCCAGGGTTCCCTGAGCTGTCAGGGAGAAAGTGGGCTATTCCTTGAGTTCAGCTTCTTGGGAAAAGCCCAGCTGTGTGGGAAAAGGTCTCCTGCCTGCAGCCTCCTCATGGCCGAGGCCCAGAGGAGGTCAAGGAGAGGCTTGCTCCAATGTGCTCTGTGGACCAGCATCCATGCAGATGGTACACAGTTCCATCCCTGCTTTAGCTTCTAGACCCTCTTTGCCCATTCGCTGATGTGCAAGTCCTCTCCCTGTCCACACACATGTGCATGTGTGTACAGACACACGCACACAGGTGCAGCCTTGGCCAGTACTTTGCTGGACTGAATCCTTCTAGAAAGCTCTGTAACCCAGTGTTTTCTTTCCTCTTGCCCCACCTGACACAGTATTCCTATGAAGGGATGGAGATCAACAACCTGCCTGTAGAGTTGACGGTGGTGTGGAACGGGCACTTCAACATCGACAACCCAGCTCAGAATAAAGGTGAGCAAAGGCTGGGGCCTGGCGGGAAAGATGGGAGTATGAGAGGGAACCTACAGCCCCCAGTCCCACATTCCTTGGCAATGTCATTCCTCTCAGCACTTCCTAGTGGCTGACCCTCTCACCCTGACTCTGAGCCCTCCTTCCCAGGCCCTGTACCATCCACATTGCCTATTACTTCTTAGCCATGAGCTCAGCATGGCTGGGCATGGACTGGTAGCCTCTGAGAGGGGAGCTTCTGCTGGGAAGGACTGCTGAGAGTGGATGGAGACTCGGGGCTTCCTGTCCCATTCCTCTGCTCAGGCCTTGAGTTCCTGTTTGGTCTTCTCTGTATCAGAATGGCTCAAGGGCCAAAGCTGCCTTGTGTCCCATCATCCCAGACCGTGTGCCTCGTTCCTCTCATCAGCTCTCGCAGCCTCCACCCACATCCCAAAGCACCTGTGGCCCTCTGTCCTCTGCAGTTCACCTCTATAAGTGCGGAGCCATGCGTGAGAGCTGCGGGCTGTGCCTCAAGGCTGACCCAGAGTTCGAGTGTGGCTGGTGCCAAGGCCCCAGCCAGTGCACACTGCGTCAGCACTGCCCTGCCCATGAGAGCCGGTGGCTGGAGCTGTCGGGCCCCAACAGCAAGTGCACCAACCCACGCATCACAGAGGTAAGTGGGACATGCTCCAGGCTGCTGAGCAGTGTGTGCCCTCCCAGGGGGCTGGGGCCTGAGAACCCAGCCTGGCCATGGCATTGGTCACCTTGGAGGGTACCTGGTGGACTCAATGTTCCACCTGGCTGGGCAGCATCCTCATTGTCCTTCACAGCTTTTTCTGGAAGCTTGGCATTTTAGCCCATTCCATTGCTAATAACAGAAAATACCCTTGAGCAAGCAAGGTAGTTGAGGCCCCTGGGTGATTTATGAAAACAGAAGTTTGTTCAGCTTACAATATGGAGATCCATGATCCAGGGACCACTTCTGGTGGGCACCTTGCAGAGTTTCAAGGCATCACATCCCAAAAATAAGAGCAGGGTAGAGTGTCTGCCTCACTCTCCCTCCTTATAAGTCCACCAAGACTCAGTCATGGGAGCCCTACCCTGATGACCTTAAGACTAATCTCCCAAAGGCTCCACCTTTCAACACCATAATCAGATGAAGTTTTCATCCTCCTAATTCCATCACACCAAATCTCACCACATGAATTTACAATGATAGCTTTAAGCTTGGTTCAGAGACCCCTTACCGAGGGAGTTTGGAAGCAGAGAAGGTCTGACTACCCTATTGGAGCCTCTCCATGAGCTCCATGGACAAGGACTCAGTCCTTGCTACTCACATTCTGTGCCTCTATGAAGGCCCCAATTCTAAGACTCTCTGATGCTCTATCAAGCCTCACCAAGCTCTGCCTGTACATGGAGGCTACACCAGGCACAGAGAGCACAGCCCAGCCCTGGGAAAGTGGAGAAGATCACAGTAGAGAGGCCTCAGGACATACCCAAAGCCCAACCTAAGCTGTAAAATGGCAGAAATGGGTTTGAACACAGTTCAGCAGAACCCCGGG